CGACGGCTGCCGGCCCGGCGGGCGAGCGAGCGAGCGCGGGGTCGCGGCGCGGGGGGCGTCCCCGGCCGGGACGCGGATCGCTGCGCTGCCCTTGGCGAGTGTGGGGATCTCAGGTAAGCACCAGCGGCTCCGGGCCCGCGGGACAGGACTTTGAGGAGGGGGCGTCCCGCGCCGGGGGCTCTGCTCTCCAGCCCCTGCCGTTTGCCCCCTGCCACTCTTCGCGGACGCTGGGGCCGGGCAGCCCGGCCCCGGACTGCGCGCCACGGCCAGAGTCCGGGCAAGCAGCCCGGGAGGCGACAGTCGCGGGTTTTCCGCTCCCCTCCCCCGCCCCGCCTTCGGGACCCCGAGAGGTCCGAGCACCCCGAGCGCCGGACGAGTGGCGGCCGAGTCGGGATTGCGCGCGGGTGGCGGGGTGGCAGCGGGCGCGCGTCCTCGGGTGAGTTCCCTTTTGACCTAGTTGCCTGAGAACTTTTCAGAAGTTCCTCGCGTGGCCGGAGCAGGTGACATTTGTCGCCTTCCTCCTCGGGCTCCCCCCGGGGGCGGGTGCCGGGGCTGCGGCGAGTGCCCGGCGCCGGTCAGGGAGGGAGTGGAGGGATGAGCGAAGAGTGAGGCTCCGTGAGTCATGGACCCCAGGAGGGAGGGAGGGAGGAGGAGGGATTGTGTCGTACGCTCACCTGTTTGTCAGTCACCGTCACACGCAGAGGCCACCGCTGTGAGTCACGGGCGCAGCTACACCGGCCACCCGCGGGCACACGTAGGCTTCTCCCACGCGCGGCTCCCTCCCCAGCACGTACTTCCTCCCTGTCCTCAGTTTCCCCTCCCCGGGGGCCCTTCTATCGGCACGCGCGGTTGAGATGCCCACACCACGGCAGCCGTCACACACTTAGTCACTCCTGCTCCCTGGCACAGTCACACACAGCCCACACTCCTGACACGAGAGGGTCCCTCCTCGGTTCTACTGCCCACCTGACACCTCCACTCAGATGTCTCACAGTCCCGCGAGGTGGAACTCATCACTAGCCCCCAAATCCTTGACATCACTGCCCTCTTCTGTCCCTATATCCAGAGGTCACCAAGTTCCTTTCCCCTTTCTTCTAAGCCTTTGGTCTGTCATCTCTCACCTAGCTCTGGCAGCTCGGTCCAACCGGTCACACCCCCTCCTGTCCCAGTGCTGAGCCATCTTTTTAAAATGCAAATCTGGTCTTGTCACTCCGTACTTAACCCTTCTGTGGCTTCCTGTGCCCTCAGGGTAAAGCCTGCTTCGTCAGCGCTGGCTCCCGGAAAAAACCCCTTCCCCCTCACCTCTCTGGCTCTCCCTCCTCAAGTCCCTGGCACCTGCTGTGTCCCTCTCTCTCTTTCTAGAACTTTTCGCACATCCCATCCTTTCCTCTGAGAGACCAGTCTTCACCCTCAGCTGTACCCCTCCTGCCCTCCATCCCAGCAGTCAACAAGATTCCTAACTCTGATTATACTCCTCCCCACTAAACTCAAAGCTTCAAGGTGGCAGCCAGAGTGTATGTCTTGCTGCATGTGTGCCCAGGTGTCTGACACAGGGCTTGGCATATCATGGGCCCTCAATAAATGTTTGTTGGGAATGAATGAATGAATAGAAGTGAAGGAGTCTTGGTGGGGGAAGTAGTGGCTGTCAGGTGCAATTTCCCTTTTGCAGGAGCAATTGCCTTATGTAGCCAGCAAACATTTGGCACCTCTCCAGTGCCAGGCCCTGGACGCCAAGGCTGAGGAACTGTCCCCTCCCCCAGGGATCACTTTCAGAGGGATGGGTGGGGGAGGGGTGTGCCAAGGCTTCCTATCTGCCCTCTCTGGGCTGCCCTGGCTGTTTTTCTAGCCAGTCCCCATGCCCGCCCCACCTTCTCCCAGGAAGGAGTTCCTCGGGTCCGAGGTCATGTGACCCCAGGTGTTGGGGGGAACTGGCCTGGCCAAGGCCTGGGGCTGTGAGGTTAAAGGACACATTCTTCAGGTTCCTGAAAGGGAGTGGAGGCAGCTGAAGGTGCCCCACTTCCCAATAGCAGCTCTGACTGGGTGCTGGGGCTTTGGGACTGCTGAGGTTGAAGAGGAGTTGATGTGACAGTTCAGAGGCCTGAGGATCTCCGCACCCAAATAGCCTTTACTTGCTTGGTGTCCAGGATGAGGTGGCCTTCCCTGAGTTCACAGAGTGTGGTCTGAGGGTGTAGACAGTGGTGGTGAGTTGGATGTGGGGGTCACCCCCTCATCACAGGCTGTCAGCTCCTGTGTGTGGTGGCAGTAGGGCGGCCTGATTCTCAGGGCCCAGGCAGATCCCGGAAGAAGCCTGGTTCTCCTTGATTCAGGGCCTGTCTCTGAGGCTCCTCGGGGGTGTGGTATTTCTGTCTGAGCCAGCTCCTGGGAATTGCTTTTCTTTCCTCCAGGACCCTCGGAGGGGGCTGTGCTCACCCTGGGAACAGTGCCACGGTCAGGAATCTTGATTCCTGGGTAGCTGCTGAGGGCCCTTCCCCCACCCTCTGACTCACTGTCTGACACTTTTCTTGGACTCTTTCACTATCTTTCATTCCTTTTCTGACTTGGCCTCTCCTTGTCTCTGGCTGAGGCTTTTTGTCTCATCTGCCTCTGCCTCTCTCAGCCTCTGGATTCCCAGGTGGGACAGCCAAGCACAAGACCCAGGGGCTCCTCCTCCTCCCCCAGCATCAGGGAGGAGGTAATTTCTCACTTCCAGTTCTGCAGATTTTGCTAGGGGCTCATCACTAGAACCTGCATCACGGCTGTGGCTCCCCTGTGTCCCGGTTTCCCTGTCTACAGCCTTGGAGTTTATAACCCCCTCACCTTAAGCTCTCACTCTGTAGACATCCCTGAGGCAAAGCCAGGGTGTCTGGCTTGAACCTGCATCCTAAGATACCTGTGTTGGCACCTGCTTGCAGCCGGAGCTTCCTGCTCCCGCCCTGAGGGCTACCCTCTTCTGGGTACTCTTCTTGCTGAAACCTTCTGGCACAGGCTGGGAGATGAGCATGTGCCCTGCCTCCAAACTAACTGTGAAGGAGCAGGAGAAGGGCACACTGACCAATGACCCCCAGAGCCTGGTGTGCCTAAATCTTATCTCTGTTTATACCTGATCTGCAGTGCCAGCCTGCCTACCCTTGATGGTCCTCAGGTGCTTTGTCTGTACCAGACTCTATTCCAGGCACAGGCACAGTGACAGCCAGGCAGAAAGGCCCTCAGCCTGGTGTGAGGAAGATGAGCTGTGAGGCCGTTGCAGGAAGGGGCCATAAGGGCTGTGATCGGGGAATCCCAGGGCCCAGGGGAGCCCAGAGAGGCATGTAGTGGGGAGGAGTGAGGGTTTCAGGGAGGTCCTCTTGAAGATGACTTCTAAGGGTGGAGTGAGGCAGGGTTCCAGCTTGTGCAAAGGCCAAGGGTTGAGCAGGTCATGGCCATTAGGACAACTGCAAGTTCAGCTGGAGTGTAGTGAGGGGGTCGGGAGAGCCTTGCATGATGAGTCTGGAGGGGAGGCAGCAGCCAGATGTGCTTTAGCTTCTCTTGGAATTCTGGGCTTGATCCTGAGGGCAAGCTCCCCTAAGGGGAGCTGAGGAGTGATTCTAAGCCTGAGAGTGGCAGGTAGATACGCGGTTTAATAAGATCACTTTGGCTGCAGGGTAAAGAATGGCTGTGGGGAGAGGACGAGAGCAGAGGCAGGGGACATGGGTAGTAGCTGTGGGACAGAGACATAGGGGTAATAAAGCTGCAGAATTGAAGGTGACATATGTAAATGCATAAAGTACATGAGTCCTGTGTGTACAGTGAGATGAATTTTTACAGTTTTAGACACCCACAGAACTACTACCCGGATCAACATAGAACATTTCCAGAACCCCCCAGAAGATTCCCTTCCGACTGTCCCCAGTGCATCCCCTTCACAGCCGCCGGGGTAACCACAATTCTGACTTGTATTGTCACTGATTGGATTCGCCTTTTCTTAAACTTCATTCACGTGTATTCTTGGGTCTGGCTTCTGTCACTCAGCATAGTATCACAGAGAGTCATCTGCGTTGTGTGTATCCAGAAGCTCATTCTTTTTTTCACAGTGTAGAATGACACATTCACTAAGCAGTTACCACTGTTCTAAGAACTTGACATGTATGGGCTCATGTTTACCTCCCAACCCTATAAGGTTGTAAGACAAAGAATTGAAGACACAGGGAAATTAAGAAACTTGCCCAGGGTCATCCAACGAATTGAGAGCCAAGCCAAGGTTCAAATGCCAGCAGTCTGGTTCTGGAGTCAAGTTTCTTAATGCTGGGTGGCCTCCATGATTCCTGCCGAGTCTGTGCCTGGCCCTGTGTGGATTAAATGAGCTAATGTGTGCTTCCAGGACCCCGTGATTGGATGTGGATGGAAGGAGACAGGAAGGGGTTGAGGATGACTGCAGGTTTCTGGCTTGAGTAACTGGGTGGGTGGCAGTGCTGTTACTAAGATAGGGAACACAGGAAGAGGAACAGATGGCATGGGGGGTGGGGAACGGAGACAAGGGGTTCGATTTGAGGCCTGCAGAATTTTGTTTCTAAGGGATGACCAGGCAGAGACCAAGTGGGCATCTGGTTTGGGGGAGTCTCAGGCATGTGATTAGGGAGGCATTCAGCATCCTGTGCACAGCATCTGGAGTTTAGGAAAGGATGGGGTCTCCCAGCAGGATTGCAGTGGGGACGAGATGTGTGGGTGTGGTTTGTCCAAGCGTGTTTGTGCGTCTCAGTGCCTCTGTGCTCCGTCTGCGTGTGTGTATATGTGTGTGCCTGCCTCTGGGCCATGCGTTCCCCCATCTCCTGGGAGAGACTTCAAGGTCAGCTGAGAGCTGGGTTGTTTTTGTTTGTGGTTTGACCCTGGGGTGGGGGGTGCCAAGCCCGAGAAACTGCTGAGAAGCCCCCGGAAACACCTGTGTGTCCTCTTCCCCTGGGCCCAGCTTTGTTGGAGGGTTGGCAAGCCAGGGAGCTTCTCTGGCTGCTCTTGTCCCTGTGGGGAGAGGCTGTCCCTGGGATGAATTCCATCCAGTAAGTCGATCGACAGCACACGACCCAGGTTTGGGATCCAAGGACTTTGTGGGAGGATAGGCAAGGAGGGATAGGGGTGTTTAGAAAGGACACCTGAGGAGGGGAGATGGCCAGCCTCCTTGTTGGTTTTTCCTGTTCTCTCTCATTTCCTGTGATGGCAGTGGGGGAGGGGCTCCCAAGCACTGGGGCCTCTGCATCGTTTCCCCTTCCTCCTGGTGACCTCCTGGGGCCCAGCCCTGAGTGCCGCAGGACCACAGAGAGACAAGGTAGCTGTGCTCAGCCCTAAGGACCGAGTCCTTTGGGGATTCCCAAGCAGTGGGAGGGGCTGTTATTTGCTGCAGCATTTAGTGGAAGGAACCCCAAGTCCCCTCCACTCGGATGAGGCCAGCCGGGCTGTGCGAGTCTCTGGTTGTATTCCCGTGGAAGGCTGAGACCCTTAAAGGGAAGACACAGCAAGCAGTGTGTCCTGGGGTCACCCAGCTACAGACAGGAGAGAGTGAGAAATCATCTTGGCCGGTCAGTTTCACTAGAAGAAGGTTTGTTGTTTTTTTTTAAGAGAAAAAATAATTTCCATAGGAAGTTTGTAATTCAAACTAACAGGGTTAGATATTGGGAGTGGAGGGCAAGGTGAAGGTGAATTTCGAAGATCAAACAGGAGATACTAAAGAGACACGTAGCCCAGGTGGCTCTGGTCCCACAGTCAGGCCTGGAGGCAGGGGACTTCTGTGTGTGGGGGTTTCTGAGGGAAAGTCTGAGCAGCAACTTCACTGGAGAGGAAGGGCTCAGGAAAGTTCTGCGTCTGGGAATCCGGGCCGGTGTCAAAGCCAGCCTGTTCCCTGACGTGCCCTGGTCAGCCTGGCCCTGAGCAAGGGCCCGCCGCTGGTGTGTGCAGGGTGTCTGGTGTGTGCAGGGTGGCGTATCTGTGGGTGTGCGGGGGGCAGGAGGAGGAGGAAGCCGAGTCACCGTATGAGGGCTGTGCAGGCTGTTGGCGCGCAGACGGCCTCACACACACAAAGGCACACAGATGCAGCCGTGTGAATCACCCAGCCCGTGAGTCAGCCCCCAGGATTCCTGTCGGGGAATGAGTGAGGCCAGGCTGAGGTCTGTCGGTCCATCTGTCGGTCTGGTGTATGCAAGCGTGTAGGTGGGTTGGAGGGGGTCGTGGGGAAGGTGCCTGGCGCTGTCCCAGGAAGGCTTTGGGGCAGAGGTGGCTAGAGTCTGCAAGTGCCAGAATGTGGATTTGGACCTTTGTGCTCTGTCTTGTGCAAAGAAGGAAGCTTCCTGGAGATGGGGCCTGGCATGCAGAGCTCTCCAGGGAGGCCTGGGCCACCTTGGAGGGTGGGAGGGAGAGGTGACAGCGGGGGCTGGGCGCCCACCTCCTGTCCTCAGGCCTGCCATCTAGAGCTTACCGTTTCCCATTCCAGGCTGTGTGTGCCCAGACCCCAGAGCACCCCTCGCCACCATGACCGGGCTGCTGAAGAGGAAGTTTGACCAGCTGGATGAGGACGCCTCCTCGCTCTGCTCGTCCTCCTCCTCTTCGTCCTTCTCCGGCCACCACTCTCCCTCCTGCTCCCCGAGCTCGTCAGCCTCCCCCACCTGGGACTCCGACGAGGAGAGCCCCTGGGATCAGATGCCCCCACCCGACCGTGACTTCTGTGGCCTGCGAAGTTTTACCCGTGAGTCCCTCTGCCCCTGGGGACCCTGTCACACACCTCCTTCCTTCCTGAGGCCGAAATCAGGAGGCCCCGTCAAAGTCGTCCCAGCCTCTGGAGGTCGTGTCCCCATGGCTTTAACTCCCCTACTTGGCTCTCCACTTCCTCCACTTCCCGTCGCATGGGTCACTCGGGAATGCCCCCTGTCCAGAAGCACTTGGGCCCAGCTCAGTTCACCTTTGACCTTGGGACTCTCCAGCTTCGAAGTCATCTGTTCAGGGCAGGGCTGCTCAGTGGCCCTGGGGCCTTCCCGCCTGGCTCAGTCTTTTAGTTCTAGTTTCGTTTCTCCAGCTGGAAGGAACCCTTTCCTCTACCAGCTGAGCTGCCCGAGTCCCACGCCTCATGCTTCTCCGCGTTGGGGCCTGTCAGGCTAGTCCCTTGCCTGTCGAAATGCTGTTCGGCTTTGCCTGAATGCAATGAAAAGGTTTTTCCCTAGTTATTTTTCCAGCTTGCATAATTCTGATTCCAAACTGACAAAAGGTGACCCTAGAGTAGTGTTGCTCAACCTTGTTTTTCATTATTGCACCCCCAATTTCAAGGAGCCCAATTAGACATTTTTTCCCTAATCATCCCCACCGTGACATCTTAATACTATGGATATGTCTGTTTATGTACTATATGCATATCTGTGCATTATACATAGAAAAGAGTAATTTTTAGTAGATAGAATGTAACAGTACGTTAACTGACTAAACTACTATGGGTTTTCTCTGGAAATATAAGGATGTTTAATACTATAAAATCTAATCATATAGTTTACTGTGACTGTGTCAGAGGAGGGAAAACAGGAGAGCTGCTGTAGATACTGAAAGAATACTTTATAAAATGCAACATTCCGTCTAGATAATACCCTCGGTAGGATAGGAAGAAGAGAATTCTATGCTAAATAGGTAAAAAAAAAAAAAAGAAGAAGAAGATATGTCTCAACCCCAAAACTGGCATTGTGATTAATGAGGAAATACTGGAAGCAGTGCCACTAAGTCAGGGACAAGATGAAGACACTGTCACCACTGTTAGTTAACCTTGTTCAGGAAGTGCTGGCCAATTCAGTTAGCAGAGAGGATGAGAATTAAATATATTGGGTGAGGACAGGCAGAATTGCCATCATTTGCACGTGGTTGACTACCATGTGGTGAATTTAAGTATATGTATACAGAAAACCTAGTAAAGGGAATTACTTCAAGTAGCTGGATATAATATTAAGTTTAAATATATGGAATTGCCAAGATTTGATTATTTTATGGTAATTTCTTATGGTTCAACCTAATAAAAATCAACAAATACCAATATGCATATTGAATAAACCAATACATAGCTTACTAATCAATATACTTAATAACTTATAAAGGGTAGACCTTTCAAGGTCTGTTGCAAAATGCAGAAGCCATAAAGGAAAAGAGCAATATATCTTTGATTACATAAACCTTAGAAATTATTTTGTAAAAGGCCATGAGCAAAAATAAAAGACTAAAATTTGTGTAGATAGGTTAGACAGATGATTACCATGTCTAATGTAAAAGCACCTACAAATCCATTTTCTTTAAACTATAGAAAACTGTACAAGGGAACTGTAAATGGCTACTAAAGATGGGAAAGATGTTTAATCTTACACATGCTCTCATTTGGACTGATAAATAACAATAAGCCAGTGCTGACAAAGGGTGATACTGGATTGTATCAGCTCCATTCTTAGCCAGGTTGGCTCCTAAACTCAGGTCCATTTCTTTTTTGGGAGGTGGGTGGGGTGGAAGGAGAGATATAGTCCAGCATCATCTTCTAGGGGCCAGGCCCTGCCTCACAGAGAACTAATGCCTGCCCCTCCCCTGCCTGCCCTCCAGCCCTGTCCATCCTGAAGCGGGCTCCCCGGAAGCGCCCAGGCCGCGTAGCCTTCGATGGCATCACCGTCTTCTACTTCCCTCGGTGCCAGGGCTTCACTAGCGTGCCCAGCCGCGGCGGCTGCACTCTGGGTATGGCCCCTCGCCACAGTGCCTGCCGCCGCTTCTCGTTGGCTGAGTTTACGCAGGAGCAAGCCCGGGCACGGCATGAGAAGCTGCGCCTGCGCTTGAAGGAAGAGAAGCTGGAGGTGCTACGATGGAAGGTGCGGAGACCCTCCGTGGCCCACGCCCCGGGGCAGCTCTGAAGTCCTGGCCTGGGTGGGGGGAATGGGCACAGGCGTGGGGAGGTGGATGCTGATTTGCTCGTTGTGTATGTGGGGAAAGAGGTGTGGATGGGCTGTGATTGGCTTGATCAGGGTCTGCTGCTGAATTATCTGCAGACAGATGTGTTTGCTTGCTGCAGGGCAGGGGGTGTAGTGCCTGAATCTGTCTGACCTCACTGGGGATGGGGAGTGGATAGGACTTGGGGGTTGGTGTATCTGTCTGGCTGTGGGAGGGGGTATGTCCATGAACTGGGGAGTGACAGAACGGGAAATCTCTTTGCAAATGCCCCGAGGGTGTGCTTTTGGCTCTTCGTTCGCCATGGCATCCACAAGTCCCCAACCTGGGGGGCATTTAAGTGACCGATGGCGTGCCTCTCAAATCCCTCCTGTCTCCCTGGACACAGCTTTCAGAGGCTGGGGTACCCAAGACGGAGGCTGGCCTGCCGCTTACAGTGGATGCCATAGATGATGCCTCTGTGGAGGAGGACTTGGCAGTGGCCGTGGCAGGCGGCCAGTTGGAGGAAATGACCTTCCTACAGCCCTACCCAGCCCGGCAGCGGCGGGCTCTGCTGCGGGCTGCGGGTGTGCGGAGGATCGATCGTGAGGAGAAGCGAGAGCTCCAGGCTCTGCGCCAATCCCGGGAGGACTGCGGCTGTCGCTGTGACAGGGTCTGTGATCCCGAGACCTGCAGCTGCAGCCTGGCGGGCATCAAGTGTCAGGTACGGGGGCCGGGCTGGGCTGGGCTGGGAGGGTGAGCCTGAGTGAGGGCTTCTCCGAGCTCCACTGGATCCTCACCCTACCCCCACACCTTTGCTTTCTTTGCAGATGGACCACACAGCATTCCCCTGTGGCTGCTGCAGGGAGGGCTGTGAGAACCCCAAGGGCCGTGTGGAATTTAACCAGGCTCGAGTTCAGACCCATTTTATTCACACACTTACCCGCCTACAGCTGGAGCAGGGAGCTGAGAGCCTTGGGGAGCTGGAGCCCTCAGCCCAGGGTGGTGTACCCAGCCCTGGGGAGCAGGCCCTGGCCTCCACATTTCCGCTGGCCAAGCCCCCCGTGAGCAGTGAGCTGGGAGACAACAGCTGCAGCAGCGACATGACCGATTCGTCCACAGCCTCGGGCACCAGCGAGGCCCCTGATGGCCCTGCCCACCCGGCCCTGCCCGGCCCTGGCTTCCAGCCCAGTGTGGACGACGACAACCTGGCTCGGATCCTGAGCTTCAGTGACTCTGACCTGGGCGGAGAGGAGGAGGAGGAGGAGGAAGGGGGTGTGGGCGGCCTGGACAACCTCAGCTGCTTCCACCCAGCTGACATCTTTGGTACCAGTGACCCCGCTGGCCTGGCCAGCTGGACCCACAGCTATTCCAGCTCCAGCCTTACATCAGGCATCCTGGATGAGAACGCCAACCTGGATGCCAGCTGCTTCCTCAACAGCAGCCTTGAAGGGTCAGGGGAAGGCAGCCTCCCTGGCCCCCCAGTGCCAGCCGGCACGGATGCCCGCCAGAGCAGCTCAGTGGACCTCAGCTTGTCTTCCTGTGACTCCTTCGAGCTGCTCCAGGCCCTGCCGGACTATAGTCTGGGGCCCCACTACACCTCCCGGAAGGTGTCTGACAGCCTTGACCACCTTGAGGTGCCCCACTTCGCCTTGCCTGCCTTTTCTCCCCCCGGGGATGCCAGTACTTGCTTCCTGGAGTCCATCATGGGCTTGTCTGAGCCAGCTGCTGAGGCCCTGGCTCCCTTTGTGGACAGCCAATTGTTTGAGGACACTGCCCCGGCCTCACTGGTGGAGCCTGTGCCGGTGTGAGGGCTACAGTGCCTTTTTCCGGCGCCAAGAGTCCTGTTGCTGCTTCATTGTAATTTGGGGGCTCCCTGAGGTCTTTCTGTATGTAACAGTTTCCTGTTGGCGGGCTCCCATGTGGGCACTCCTAATTTTCGTGCAACACTCTGGATTGATTTATTTATTTTTGTAACTTTCTGTGCTGAGGGCGGTGGGGGGTTCCCCTTTTGGCCGCCTGGCCCCCCTTGCCCACACCATCTCCTCCATTTCTACGGCACGGGCCAGGAAGAAATGTGGCTCCCCTGGAGCTTTGTAGACTCCTCTTCTGTCTTGTATAATGTTCCTCAGCCCAAAGACAGCCAGACAGGGCTGAAATCAGCCACTTCTTATGGCTTCTTCTGCCACCCTGAGCCCTAGACCCATGGGTGGCTGAATCTTCTGGACTGTGAAAACTGTAATTTATTTCCATAATTTATTTGGAGATTAGGTGGTTTTGGCCTCTCCTCTCTGACTGGTGGGCAATGCTGGGCTTAGGGTGGGACACAGACCCCCTGTGAGTCCTTTTGCCTTATAGTCCTGCAGCCCTGCCCTGCCCGGGCTTTGGGGTAGACCAGGCGTGGATTTGAGCCCTCTGTCTAATATGGCAGCTTCCTGGCTCTGGATGGCTGAGCAAGCAGGGGCTGGCCCGGGACAGTGTCTGGGCAGGGGGAGGGGCTGGGCTGACCAACCGTGACCAAACCCTCTTCTGCCCCTTGCAGCCCCCTCTGCTTCCTGTCCTCGGCCCTGTCTCCCTCCTTCCCCACCAAAGGCCACAGCCTTTATCCTGAGCCCATCAATGCAGGAGGGGGAAGTAGGAGGCCCAGAGAAGGTAAGGGGCTGCCTCAGGGCCCATCACACGCCCCTCAGGGCCTTCTGGGCACTGCGCTCCAGCCTGGTCCACCTGCCTGCACCCTAAGGCCAGATGGCCGGGGCGAAGGGTGACTATGGCTTTCATGCCATTTGTTTGCTGATGTTGAATTTTGCATCATAATTTCTATATTGTCCCTGAGTATTAGAACTATAATTTATTCATTTTTCTGTGTCTGTGCCAAGAAGCCCAGGCTCTGGGCCTGCCCTCTTGCCTAGGAGGCCTTGCCAGCCTGTGAGCTTGTGGGAACACCTTGTACCTGAGCTTACAGGTACCAATAAAGAGACTATTTTTAACTGTGGTCTGCGTTTGTGGATCCGGGAGCACATTTTTGGGACTGGGAGCACGGGTACACCCTCCGGAGGCAGTGGGGAGGGATGGGGAGGCAGCGGAGAGGGAGAGGGAGACAGGCCCTGCTGGGCAGTACAGACACTAAGGCTGTGTTGGGGACAGAAGTGGGGGACACAACACATTGGGCCTTTCCCATGCCAGTCAGTTAACTTGGAGACAGGAAGCCAGCTAGAAGAGGCTGGCCAGGCAGATGGAGCCGTTTTCCCCTTGGATGAACCCATCTCCACTGGTCACCTGGGCAGAAGTAGGGAGCAGCAGCAGGGCAGTCTTCTGGGACAGGGCCACCTGCTTGGGATGGGTGAGGGCATACTTGCCGCTCACCCACACGGAGCTGGGTCCTGGCCCTAGGATGAACTCATACCCTCTCGGTGGGGGCGGGCAGTGGGATTGTGGCTGGTGGAGGCCTTGTGTGGGACTGAGTGGCTGAGGTCCCTGGGGACTTGAGCACCGGAAGCAGCAGAACCTCATCCATCTGCACCAACCAGACCTGTCTGACCTGCCCCTGGCAGCTCGGGCCAAAGGCCAGAAGAGCAGGCTGCACCCTGCCCTGGGGAGCCCCAGTCTAGGGGCCTGTGGAGCAAGGTCGACCTCCCCTCTAGGAATGGTCGTGATTTATACAAGCACTGGGAGGGGACACCAAAAAGAGACCTGACTTGGGTCTCCATTTCTTGCTCTAATTATCTGCCTCTGGCCTGTGCTGGGCTCCCCTCATTTCTTCTCTATGGATTACTGGTTAAGAGCAGAGATCCAGAGTGCTGGGGTTCAAATCCCAGCTCTTCTACTAACTAGTGAGGTGACTTGTGCAAATTACATCCCCTCTCTGTTCCTCAGTGTCCCCAGTATTGTCCAAATAATCACACTGCTCACCTCACGTGCTTGCTCAGTTCACATGCACCCAGCGCTCAGAGGAGGCCCTGGAATGTGCAAGCCTCATGTGCATGTTTGAGGCTTAAGTTGTTTTCCTGTGTCTGCCTCTGTTTCTATATGTTTTATCCTCCCGTTTGGCAGTTCTGTCACCCTTTAGGTATCTGTCTCTTGCCATGGTCACATGGCCATATCGTCAGTGGCCATTAGAGAGCTCAGGGCTTGGAGTCTGGCCTGTGGTGGGGCAGCCTATCCCTGTAACCAGCTTGGGCAGGGACAGCTGGGTCTTAGGCTTCTCAGGGTGGAGTACCTCGGTGCATCAAGCTGCCTTGTGTCCCATCACACTGATCCCTGGGAACTCTTTTGTAGAGATTGCTCCAGCATGCATATTCCAAAACCAGCCTAGGGATCTGGGCGGCAGCCCCTCACAGCTCCAATACCCTAGCAGGAAGCCTCTGCAGGTTCCCAACCCAAGGACACAGCCCGTGGCTGGACTAAGCCTGCCCGCTCCCCATCTAGGGCCACAGGATCACGTCTTGTTTTTTTTTTTTTTCTTCTCAACAGAACCCGCTCTAAGAAACTAGGCTGTAAAGCAGGTCCTAATAAAGGCAGCTGGCTTCCCATAGGGATGATGGGAGTTACCTGGGGAGAGTTCCAGATCATTGACTCATACCAAGAGGCCATGTACCTGATCAGCAATATGTTATAAAAAACACAGCTCGCAGCCATCAAGGACAACTCAGGCTAGAAGGGACCCTTACCCGTTCACTGTTACCAAACCTTAGTCACTGGACAACTTTGCCACATCTGTGTTCTACTCATACTAAGTATTTTACTTTGTATCAGTTTTATCAATATGCTTAAAAGTTAGAACCATTCTATGTCACAACACCCACGAATTCTCAAGTTTGTTGTGCTATTTTTCTCTGTTACATAAAGAAGATACTTAAACACACAGTTATTAAACTTTAAAATGTTTGCTGGATATCACTGGCAGGGATTTGTACCATGATTTGGGAACACACAGACCCAGTCTAATTTCCTGCCATAGAGGGGGACACAGACCCAGAGGGGAAGGTCACCCGGGGAGACTCTAGGCCTCCCAATTCAGAGTTCCTTCCCCTGAGATCAGACTGGCCCATTACTGCCATCCTGAAAAACAGGAAGAGAGGTATTGGGAACACAGCAAAGGTGACTGCTGTCACCCTCTTGTCAGTGACAATCAACATTATTCATCTAACTAGGGACCATTGGTTTTGTCCCCTTAGGTTTTAAAAGGGTTTCTGGAGGATGAATTAGTTGGTCACTGTCTTTTACAAAAGCTGAAATGGGAACTAGTTTTCCTTGGGATGTATGTTCCTGCCAAAAGCAAGAATAATCAGGTTTGTCCCAAACTGATAAGGACCAGCAGAGGCCTGCTGAAGACATGGGGAGGAGGAGACAGAATGTATGGACAGAGTGGGCCTTCTGGGCCCCTGCCAGGAAGGATGCAGTGGGCAGCTTGGCAGGGAGAAGCAGTTGCTTCTTTAATCCAGGATTCTGGGGACCAGACAGGAGAGGGGAGGCATTTATGGGCTGGCATAAAAATATTAAAATAGCTGTAGGGTATTTTTTTTAATCACCTCTTTGTTCCTCTCTGCCCCCTGAGAGTCTGGGATAGAAGGGGGGCCCGTTAGAAGTTGTCCAATAAGCCCAGCAGAAGCTAAGGTGGCTGATCTCTTTCTTCCCCAGAGCAGAACTGCTTCTTGTGCCTTAAAAACACACAGCTTTGGGATGCTCCTTAGACCAGATGAGGCATGATTCAAATTAACCACACACAATAAAGAAATGGGGAAGAATATGTTATTCTCTGAACCTCTTCTCCCCTGACCCACTTCCCACTCCCTCCATGAAACTTCTGTAGGTTGATGGCTTCTACCCACCCTGGTTCCCACTGACCACATCTACGGCCGCAGAGACCCTTGGGCCTTTTCCAGAATTTCTTCTCTGATTTTGGGGTAGTGGGGGTGTTTCCTGAGGACCTGGGACAGAGAGAGAAAGGGTGTGAAACATCAGGCAGGAGGCCCCGCCGCTGCACCAAGCCCCCCGCCACTGCACCAAGCCCCCCGCCACTGCCAGCAGCTCACATTGTGGCAGACTTCGATGGCCTCCACGAACCTCTTGTCCTTCAAGTAGTTGAAAGCGAGTTTGAAGCCTGTCCCGGGGCAGGGAGAATACAGACAAGGGCTGGCACCTGGATGACCCGAAAATTCCTCGGGTTCCCACAACAGTCAGAACACAGGCTTTGTGCCCGCCTCCCTCCTGCACCAGGTGCTCCTGGCCTGGCTGCCTTACCAATGGTGGGGTTGGCGTGATGGCTGTACTTCCAGGCCAGCTCGTAGTTGGTGGCTGCATCCTTGTAGGACTGCTCCCTCTCCATAATGAAGCCCATGTACTCGTAGGCCTTGCAGCAGGACTGCAGGGAAAGCCGGTCAGAGCCTCCGTGGAGGGGAAGCCACATCCCGTCCCAGCGCCGGGGTGGGACACGGTGGGAGCCAGGGATGCGCAGTGGGCTGCATTAACCCAAACCACTAGGAGACCCCAGCAGCACCTCGCATTCTTGGCGAAGGGTGACCGTGAGCCCCCTTCTCAGTTATTCTGAAACTAGCGTGTCCTGTTCTCACCTGCCAAAGCCACTCCAGGCTCCACCCACCCCTCCCGGCAGGCCCCTCGACCTTGAGGCCCTTTCCCATTTCTCTTCCCCTTTCCCTGTCCCTGGTCAGGGGCTACCTTGCTCCCCATGCTCTGTGGTGCATGTGCCCCGGCTTGTCCCACCTCTTCCATCCTGTTCACCCCGAATCTCTGCCCCAAAGCCCACGCATCCCGATGGCGGCGCGCCCCTCGCCTTGTTGTACTGCATGCAGCGCCGCAGCAGCTCCGAGGCCAGGTCGAACTTGCCGCCCTGGCAGTAGATGTCGGCCAGCAGGAGCCAGCTCTTCTCCAGGTCCTCAGCCTCGGCCAGTGCCCACGGAGCCTTGGCCAGACGCTTCAACTGAGTGCGCGCCTTGGGGACCTGCTTCAGCAGCATGTAGGCCTGCGCTATGGCGAGCAGAGCGGGGATGCTGTCCTTCTGTGGGGATGGGAAGCAGGCGTTGTCGCACCGGGCCCTGGGCCCCTCCCAGCCTGCCTGCCCGCCTGCCCGTCCTCCCTTCCCAGTAGCCCGCGCACCTCGGCTTGGGCCATCTCAATGAAGGTGCCCAGGGCCGCCTCCACATTAGCCTTCTCCCTGGTGGCCAGCAGGCACAGGCTCTGCAGCAGCCGCAGCTGGGTCTGGCCCCAGGCGGAGTGCGGGTAGAACTCCCGCAGCAGCTTCTCTGCGGTGCGCACGCCGTGCTGCTCCCACTCCTTCCTGCTGGTGGAGCCACAGGCATCAGACGCTGAGCTGGAGGGCGTCAGCCCCGGCGGCGTGACCCTCGCCGGGCCTCGACCCACAGGCCATAGGCTCTCCCTGCCTCCCCCAGGGTCCCGCCCCTGCCTCGCCGCCCAGCCAGGCCCTCACTTGCTCTCAGCCACCAGGTTCTCGAAAGCTTCTCCGCCCACGATCTCGTTGTCTGGGTTCAAACAGATCTGCACCATGTGATATGTGGCGCTCTGGCCCCAAGTGCTGTCCCTGCGCGCTTTGTTCAGGAACTTCAGGGCTTCATTGGGCTGCCCTAGGTACCTGTGGTGGACGAGAGAAACACCAAGAATCAGATAGGGAATCTGGCCTGGAGACTGCAGGGACATACAAGGCTCACTCTGGGAATCTGCATAAAGCAGGGGCGGGATTGCTGGTCTCCCTACTTCCAGATCTGAAAACTGAGTTTCTGCTTCCCTAGCAAAGCCCTGTATGTCTGTTAGGGAGAGCCTCCTGCACATAACTGCAGACACCGCCCCCCCCAACCCACCAGCAGTAGATGCCCCTGCAGTAGTTGAACCCTGGCTCCCAAGGCACCCGGCTGGACATCTTGGCCAATTCAAAGAAGGCAGGGGCATCTTCAAGTCTGCCACTTCTTCGCAGCAGATCAATTAGTTTGTTCAATACAGGAAAATTGTCTAAAAAAAGAGAGCAGAAATCTCCAGGCTGTGATAACCAATTGCTAATTCAGGCAGGGTGCTCTGTGGCCTGGCAGGGAGAGGGGAGGGAGGACCAGGAGACACTACTCATCTGAACTGAGCAGGGACATCCCAGCAGCTCCAGTGTCTCCATTGGTCTCCAGTGAGACACAATGAAGTAAGTACTCTTATTGTCCCCATTTTACAGATGAGGCGACTGAGGAACAAAGAAGTTAAGCAATCTGCCAAAGGTTATATAGCTGGTAAGTGAAAGACCAGGATTCTTACCTAGCTGGTCTGGCTCCAGGACCCACACTGCTAATGGCTACTATCTGCTGGGCCTCTGGGCGACTCTGCTGTGGGCCTGACTGGGGCTCCAGCCTAAGTCTCCTGTTCGGCCCAAGCCTTCTCCAGCAAGAAAAGGTGGTTTTATGCTGCAGTGAGTGGGAATGGAACTGTATATCGAAGTAAATTTCTAGCCACCTCCAGGTGGCTGTGACCTCAAAAAGGGACTTCTGTTGAGCCCCAGTGTCTGTGATTTGGGGACAGACAGGCTGTCTTGGGTCCAGTGCCAACTGCTGCCCTGCCTGAGACCAGGAACTGGCCCCTTGGACTTGGGAAGGGCCAGCATGTTCCATTGGGACTTTATCAGCTTCCTGCCTCTCTGGGAACAATCAGAGAGGAAGGGGCTTCCCTGCCCAGTCAGGAAGGAGGGGAGAGGGCCCACCCTTCTAGGAGAGAGCAGCCCTGGCTTGGTGGGAGCTGACACAGGCAGTCTCAGTGGGCAGCTCCAGGCAGGCAGTTACCTGGTGCTTTCTCCAGGACTTGGTGGTAGAGACCGATGGCAGCTTCATATTTCTGTTTTCTAAACATCAGGTCAGCCATCATCTATCAGAAAAACCCATAATGCTGGGACAGCCACTTGCATGGGCGTGTTGGGGAGGCTGTGGGGAGCAGTAAGGAGGGAAAGTGGGAGAGGACTTCCTTCCTGTCGCCTCTCTGGGCACTGGGAGAAGCTGCCACAGGAGAAGCCCAAGAGGCGGGGCGGCCCTGGGGAGGGGGAAGGTGGGTGAGGATGGAAGTGGGAAGGAAAAGCCAGGGGTAGACACCCATGGAACCAGCCCCCTCGCCCCCATCTGAGAACTGCCAGCTCCAGGTGATGAGGTAGAATGGGGATTCTCCACCTCCCTGGGGCAGCCCTGGAGGCGGGCTGGGTGACCAGGAAGAGAGAGGTGGGACTGGGGAGGGCTGTTCCCACACACTTCCCGAAGCCCCAGGAACCTGGCCCACCCTGGCCTTCACCCGTGGGTGTGGTTTCCCCTGGAGTGAATCAGCCTCCCCACCTTCCCTCAGAGTGGCCTGGGAGGTCGATGCTGCCCCCTGCTGCCAGCCCACCCCTCCTGTCCGAAGGACAGCAGGTCCAGTGCTGCGTCCACTTTTGGGGGCAGGTCAGCCAGGCATCTGGGGTTATGGGGCTAGGAAGTAGCCGGCATGTGGTCACAGGGCTGGGGAGGGCAGGGAAGAGGTCCCGGAGCCTCTCACCACAGAGGCCATCTCATGGTTCTTCTCGGTCTGCAGGAGGATGGCGCACTGCTGCTCACACAAGTCCAGGTGCCCCTGCAGCAGGTAGAGCCGCGCCAGCTCCAGACCCACCTGGACAAGATTGGATATGATAACTAAGCAATGAGTATCATGGGAAAACTTGGGGGCTGATGCCTCATTCCTGCATCAGCTCTGCCTTCCAAATATGTCTCTGATCTGCTAGGAAAATGTCTCTGGTCCTCCTAGTTTCCCACCCAATACTCCAGTCACACCAGGCCTTTTACTAACTTCTGACAGTCAGGACCTGGTTAACTCATACTCATCCTTCAGCTTTAGCTCTGACCTCACCTCCTCCAGGAGGCCCTCTGAGACCAGACTCTGGGACAGGTGCCCCTCTTCTGAGTTCCTATAGTGCCCTGAGCCCTCTGCGGGTATCACATGGTATTAGAACTGTGTATGTACTTGTCTGTACCCTGTGCCTGAGGGCAGTCTGTGGGCAAGGAGTAGGTACAGAGCCTAGCACAGTACCTGGCACATACCGGGAATCTGTTCAGTGAGAGCATATTAAATAAATGAGTGGGTCTGTCACTAAGCTCTTCATCTACCCCCTTAGCGTGAACTCCAGCTACCTGGAGCCACACCTGCTTAGCAATGCTGAACCTCCTTGGAAGCTTAGCCTGGGCTTCACACCCAAAGAGCCCCTGCCAACTACCCTCTCATTGTCTCTCCACCTATAAGGGGGACCTGAAAACGCCAGACTAACCTGCAGCATCTTTCAGTAATGCCTTCCCTGCTCCACCCACCACGTATGGCTGTCCAAAGACGGGCTTCCAGCCTTGCTCTGAGGGCTGCAGTGGGTGGGGGCCCAGGGGTCCCTGCCCCTTGCACCTGCAGCTCCTCAGGGAGACACAGAGAGGGAGCTGGCCTCCACTCCTGGGCAGGAAGCTCTGCAAGGCTCTGTGCCCCAAGAGACGGAACAGGGTCTCACTCTAATGATCCCACCTTATTGTCAGTGGGCGAGTAGGAGAGGGCATCCTTGTAAGACCGCACTGCCTTGGTGAACTCCTTCTCGGCCAGGTAGTACTCCCCAAACTGGATGCAGATGGAGGCTGCTAGTTGCTTCTGGGAGGGGATCACTTCCGGTTGCTCCAGAGGGACACGCTTCAAGATCCGAGACTGGAGGTCCATGGCCTTGGGAAACCAGCAAACTCAGCATCAGAAACCTGGAGCCTGATGTGCCAGATCTCAGGCCAATTCACAGTAAGTCCCCAAGCTCTCATCTCAGGGCCAGCCGTCTTAGAAGGGGCATCTCAAGTGCGCTTGAGCAAATGTAGGTCACTCCGGACAGGCGAGACCACTGGCTGAGTACTCAGGAGGCGAGCTGGCACTGCCTCTGGGGCAGGAGCAGAAGCAAAGGCACTTGAACAAAACACTCTATTGTACTCAGCTTGTTTACCTGTTTCCATCACACTTTGGCACTCATTGTGTCTAATTTGCTTCAGCTGTCCTACAGGCTAGACCAAGCACATAGTAGGTACTCAACACAGGCTGCATTTTGAAGGGTGTATTCATTCTGAATAATGCCCTGCTTGGGATCTGAGGCAGCCCCCACCAATGTGCACAACATACAATGATCCAGTGAGTAAACAGAGAGCATCAGGGCAAGAGGAAATGATGATGCCAGAGTTAAGTTTTGGGAAGCGGGCACAAGTCTGCCCTTGGTTCACCGAGGACCAAACAGAGGAATGGAAAGCCAGTGGGAAACAAAAGAATATGTCATCTCAAGCAGAGATGTTCTCCAATCACAGAACACACCCCAGGGGTAAGTGCCAGGCCACATGCTCAGATAGAAGAGTGAGGAGGGCGTGGCAAGAATGGCCAGGAGTCTCCCGTCAGGGGCAGCCCAGTGGGGAGAGTGTGGGTTGGGACAAGCCAGACCCAGTTCAAATCTTAGTCCCACCACTTACTAGCAGTGACTTTGGGTATATTTCTTAACTTCTTTGAGCCTTACCTGTCAAATAGAATGTCACAGAGCTCATCTCAAAGGGCTACTGTGAGAATTAAATAAGAAAACAAAAAGCCTAGTACAGAATTCAGCACAGAGCATTCAGTGCAAGGGAGCTGCTGGCATTGTCTATTATCATCAGCATCAGCATCCTTGAGCACAAAGGCACTGTCTGACCCCCTGCCTTCTCCAGCCCAGCTCAGCTGGGCTCAGAGGACTTGAGTGCACCATCAGTAAAAGAGCAAGGGCGGGGGAATGAATGGAAGGTAGAGGGCAGAGTGGTAACCTAGATCCTCTTTTGAGGACCAGGCCTGGAGCCTTCCAGTCTTATCTATTCTATCCTATCTTCAGCTCCCATCAGGAAATAGCAGGTAAAGAGCTTGCATCTACTTGTCAATTACCTTGTTCAAAGTTTCTACCACATCTTCTTTTTTATGGCTCTTGTAAACCTTTGCCAGCAAAAGTAAGCACTTGACGTCATTCATCATGGATGGGATGTCTTTGACTGCAAAATGGAAACTCAAATTAGTGCTTTTTGGCCCCTGGGAAGTAGAGGATGGACCAAGGAGGGGAGCTAGGTTCAGAGCCTGTCCCCTGCACCATTCTGCAGGAGAAGAGGGTGTGGGCTGAGGGCAGTCTGTCTGCTCCGAATGCTAGGGGACTGAGTTACAGTGCTGCCTCACCAAAGTCATGATCCAGTGCCTGCTTCAGAATTTTTTCTGCTTTGTTGAACTTCTTCAGCTTCAGGAGCAGTTCAGCCAGATCACAGCACAGAAAGTCCTGTCCACTAATCTTCTGAGCAGCCTCATAATAATTAATTGCCTTGTGCCAACAGGAAATGTCGGCATCAGGGCTGGTTATACACTCGAGCACCGCACACTGCGTGCCCCTCCAGAACACAGAAGCCTCCGAGGTGAAGGCCTCCCGGCTGGCACATGACTCAAGACTCAGCCTTGGTACGTGGGGGTGGGTGGTGGGGAGTTGCTAAGTTTTCCCCTTGGCACCCAGTTCACCAGAGTCTCCCCTCCCACGCAGCCCCTCACCCGCGCACCCTCCTCCATCTTCCCTGCTGGGCTGGCCCTCCCCACCCGAGTCCAGCCTGACCTTGGTGTACTGGTGGGTCTTCACGTAAGCTTGCCCAATCCTGCTGACCAGCGATGCATCGTGTGGGTTCTTTCTGTAGGCTTCGTCGTAGACCTCCAGGGCCTTCTCAGGCTATGGGGTAAAGGGTCAGGGGTCTCTCTCGTCTCTCTCATGGGAGAAGTGAGACTGGAGGTCCACTTGGCAAGGCCATGAGGCCTTCGCTCACCTCCTGAATGTTCATGAAAGCATCACCCAGTAGCAGACTGGTGTGGGGGCTGGGCAGATGTTCACAGAGCTCCCTGCAAAAGTAAGCACCTGCACTTAGACCTGTGTGTCCTTCCTGTTCCCGAATCCACTGCCTCCTCTTTCCCGTTCACTCTGGCTGACATTCATTCATTCATTCAGTCACTCATCATCCAATACTTATTAGCTCATATGAGGCAGGTGCTGGAGCCCTTCGTTCAGGCTCCCCTCATCTGTCATCTGGACCACTGCCAGCACTTCCACCCATTCCTCTGACCTCCGCTCCCAACCCCTCAACCCTCTTCACGAGGCAGCCTGCTCTTTCTAAACCTCCAGTGTGACTGTCACCCCACTGTTTATTGGTTTCCCACTGCTCTTGGCATCACCTCCCCAGTGCCCCAGCCAGCACTCCCCTTCCACCTGACCTGCAGAGATGGAGTTTTGCCTGAGGAAGGGGTCAGGGAAGGGACCCTTGAGGTCCCAATGTCAAGTTGGAAAGGCAGCAGCTTGGGGCTAACCACCTGCACTCTCCATCCTCCTTCACTCACATTGGTCACATCTGAGTCGCTGAACATTTTCTCAAGGAGTAGTGGGGCCAGGGGCCAGGGCAGAACCATGGTTCCCCCAGAATGTGAGACATGGTGGCAAGGGCAAGCATGGCTCAGGGCAGATGCACCCCTGTATCCTCACAACTCAGCAGCAAGGCGACAGGACCAACCCATCACGCTCAAATTCTAACCCATGGGAAAGTCCATACAGTCCTCAAACACACTCTGAAGACCCAGATTGCAGGGGGCAATCTGGAGAAAACACTCCCTAAGATGCTCCTGGGGCCGAGGACGTCAGAGCTCACCGGTAGCACCCGATATAGAGGCGGACGTCCTTGCGCGTCTGCAGGTAGATGCTGGCCATCTTCTCCTTGGCCTCCGTGTAGCAGGGCTGCTTGGGTGTGACGTTCCTCAGCACGCTCAGCGCCAGGTCCACGTCCCCCTTGCTCAGGGCCAAGTCCACGTTGGCGATGGTGATGCGGATCTCCTCTGGCGTACCGCTGAACTCATTGATGGCATCCTGCATGATCTTGGTGGCCTCGTGCTAAGACATGGGGAGCCAACAGACCTCCATCTGCCGTCACCCACCACATGTGGCCTGACAACACTTAAAACCTCTTCTGGGAAGCTTAAAGCCGCCCTCCCGTTTCCATTCCTGCCCCCGGAGAGACACGGAACACAGCGTCAGCTGGGAGCTACCCTGCAACACAGAAGCCAAGACACAATGGCCCACCTCCACCTCAGAGTGGCAGGAAGGAGAGAGAGCCCTTGCGTGTCCATGGCCACTGTTCCTGGAGGGCGGGGTCAGCTGGGGTGCACCAAAGCCCTGACTGTGAGCACCTGCCCTGGGCATCCCAAAGTCTGTTGTCAATTCAGCAAGGGCAAGCCTCCTTCCTACGTTTCTCATGGGACTGCATTTTATAATTTTATAATGCTATCATTGTTTCCTGGGGCTGCTTTCTTTACCTCTGCCAGCTGACCTATCATCTTTCCCTGTTTTACTAGGACCCCTTTGTTGATCTCTTATGCTCTACTTTGAGCTGGTTTTACAAGATTCCATGTTCTTTTTATTTTCCTTGAGTGCAGAAAAGTTTCCTGAAAAAATATTTCTTCTATTTTTTATAGTATTCTTTCTCCCAAAGTGTAATTTCTACTTGTCTTTTTCTTGTTATTTCATCTTTCCTCTCTCTTCTCTTGCCTTCCTCCCCTCCACCCTCCCTTCTTTTTCCTCTCTTTCATTTCTCCCATCCCTCCCTCCCTCCCTCTCTTTCTCATAACCATCTATAGTTCCATGTTGGACCCCTTCCCATCACCACTCATCCTCTAAGGGGAACAGCTCCATCTAACCCTGCCCTTTTCTCAAGAACCAGGCTGGGGAGAGAGCGCCCTGGCACAGCTGCCCTGGGAGCACATCTCCCCTTAGCTTTCTGTGGGTCCTCCCTTTGGGGGTGAGAAACTGGGCTCAGGATGGACCCCATGGCTCCCAGGGAAGTCCACAGCTCACAGATCTGTTATTTTAGCAAAGCAAGCTGCAAAACTGGTTTTCAGGTTACTTCCCTCCTTTCTTTCCTCTGGCCCATCTCTTCTAGACAGGAGCCTAGGGCAGAGAAAACCACGGACACATTTCAACAGGGAGTTCCTGGTCAGTAACCCTCCCTGGAGCTGGGTTCCTTTAGGGATGCCCCTGTTTTTCCTGGTGTGACCACATCTCCAGTTCAGAGTTTCAAGCAAATGCAGGAACCTCACTCCCCCTCACTGCACCCTGCCTTCTCTCTCTTCCCCTGATGGGAACTTGTGAAAGGATAGGACTCTTGCTGGCCTGCTCTCCTTTACCCCCAGGCCCCACCGCAGCGCCTGGCATAGATAGCAGGCCCTCAATCAATAGCTGAATACATTTTGTTACAGATGGAGATTCCTTCTCTAGTCTTAATTCTTGTGTTCTTTTTTTTGACAGATTTAAAGGAGGAAAGTACAATAAACAGTCTTTCACACTCCCATCTTTGCCATTTTTAACTTTAAGGAGAAAAGGCCACATGGGCTGGTTTCTTCTCTATGCCAGGATCATCATAGGAGAAAGTCCAATGTCCCAGGAGCTCTGCTGGCAAACACCCTCCCGGTGAGCAGGTGAGGCCAGTGAGGCCAAGGGAGTACGTGGAATCCAGCTCCCCTAGGCTTTGCCCCTGACTCTGTGTTCCCCATTGCTCCTGTGTACCAGCATAGGATGCCCAGGTGCTCCCTGCTTTTGCTCAGCCATTCCATCCAAGGCCCCAGGGCTGCCTCATACAGTTGAGCAGGCTGTACATTGCAAAATTCCAAGGGGACACAACCGGCATCCACTGGAACAGTGTACTGCCCAACCTGCACAGCCATCTGTGGTGGCCCTGATGGGCCTGTGTACTCTGCCTCCCTGAGATCCTCATGCACACAGTGGGGTAGGCAGGGGACAGATCTTGCAGGGCTCGGCAGGGCGTGGACTTGATCTTGAGGTCAATGGGAGTCACTGAAGCCTTTTAGGCAGGGGAGAAATAGGCTCCCAAATGAATAAAGACTCAAACAAAGCACAAGGAGACATCAGCCAGAAACAAAGAGCCTGGTTCCCAGGCCTACTCTGGACCTCCAGCCTGCCCGAGCACCAAGGAAGAGAGTGTGGCATTTCTTACCAGTTCCCCGTTCATCCGGAGGGCATCTGCCAGTTCCAGAAGGATGGATACCCGCTCACTGGGCTGCACCGAGGGCCCACGGAACTTCTTGCTTTCTTCCATCTTCTGAGTTGGTAATTTTACGATCATCTTCAGTGCCTTTATGGCTTCTGGGTAGTCCCCAGACTTGTTGAGGGCCCTGGCCTTGATGAAATGGTAGAGGGGGTGGTCTCGGACCTAGAGGAACAGAGCAGAGGTGGGGTTCCAGCACCCAGAGGACAGAAAGCCACAGGGGCCCACCAAGCCTGTGCAGCAGAAGGGACTGGGGGATGCAGGCAGCTCCTGGGGCTACTTTCCCAAGGCAAGTGAAGGCTGCAGCTAACTGAGCTGTGTGACGCTGAGTGGGCGACAGGGCAGAGGGGGCCTGCACCTGGAAGTTGTGGCTGACGCCCAGCTCCAAGCAGTGGGAGCACATGGCAAAGCTGCCCTGAGCCAGGTAGATCTGGGCCATGAGGAGGTGGGCATCCACGAAGGTGGGGTCCAGCTCTAGGCAACGCTGCAGGATGCTCTGGGCATTCTCCAACTCTCCTAGAAACAATAAACAAAGCTCTACATCCAGGGATGCTTGGGGACTCTCGGGACTGGATATGTAAAGGCAGAATAAATTTTACATGTCCTGTTCCCCAGAAATACCCAAGTTGGGCATTTTATCCAGCTCTGTTCTGCTCCACTTAGAGGTCTCTTCCTAAAATTAGAACTGCACAGTTTTTGCCTTGACCCAGACAAAAGCCAGGAAACCCAAGCCTTGGTGTGACCCCTCCCTTCTCCCTGTACCCTCAGGGAGATGGCTAAGTCACTGCACTGCTCCATCTGGAAGCTCGGGGGAACACTTAAGTCTCGATTCCCACCCCTAAGAGCAGAACAAAACCTAATAATAATAGCAACTATAATAGCCACAACCGAAGAAACACCTGCTCTGTGCCAACACAGGCAAAGCACTTTAGAAAGGCTAGTTTAATACCTGCCTGTCACTGCAGGCTTGGTATTGCTATGCTTGTCTTTTACATGTAGGACTGAAACTTCAGTGATGTAAGTTACTCTCTTAGAAGGGACAAACTCAGCAGTTAAATCCAGGGCCACTGGCTCCTGAAACTGAGCTCTGAATGCCTGGGCACCATGGGCTGAGAAGCCCCCCTGCAGCCTGGCTGGCCCTTCGCGGGCAGCAGTGGCAGCCCAGGGGTCGGGTCCAGTGAGGTGGTGGGAAAGCCCTCCTCTCTCTGCAGTCAGGTCCCTCAACAGCTCCTGCTCGGGGTCTATAACCCGGGCACTGGCTTCTGGGTCCAGACTCCCTGCTCCTTCCTTGTGTACTGCAGAAATGTGAAGATGTCACCATGGCAACCTAAGCAGCTGGAGACCTTGCTTTGTCCCTAAAGCTGCTAGCAGCTGGCGGCACCCCTGTGGGGTTGGGGGGAAGGAGGGTGGTGGCGGGGGTTCTGTCCTTGCCTTGTACCCAGGAGACCTTGAAGCTGTGGGTAAACCTGGCACCCAGATGGACACTGGGAGGACTGAGGATGAAGGCACGGGAGCTCTTAGCAGAGGGCAACCCACACAGAGCCAGAGCACATAGGCACGCCACAGCATTCTGGATTCTTTGGAAGCCTCTGGACAACAGAGATCAGCTTGGCTTTCAGGCACACGGGGGTAAAAGGCCGAAGGGAGAGAGTATTTCAGAGAGGATAACAGGCACCCATGGAAGGCTCCCCTCTCCTCTCTCTGGGATCTGGGCCTTGATATGGGAGAGGGTGGACGGGTACCATTCTGGCCGCTGGAGGCTCTGAAAGTCGAACGGTACAGGGTCTCACTTCCCCACGAGACCTTCCTGACCACCTGTTAAAAACGGCAACCCTGTCACCCCCGCACCCCTTCCTCACTTTACTTCTCTCCAGTGCAAGACTACGTTTATTGTCTATGACCCCTACATGCTTACATGGAGGATGCAAACTCCATGATGAACTTTTTGCCTGTTGTGAGTACTGTTGTAGCCCAGGATCAGAGCAGTGCCTGCACCTAACGCAACTTCAGTGATTATTACCTGGCACAGATCGAGTCAGCAATCAGCAAAAGGGCCGAGTGGGAGAGACCCCTGCTGGTGGGGAGTCAGGACGGAGTCTTGGGATTGGAGGCTGGAAGGAGTGGGCAGGTATGGTGAGGGTGAGGGTGTGTGTGGAGTAGCCCAGGCAGGGAGCCTGTGGACACTAACCCAGGGGCCCCACTGGCCATGAGGACCCACAGGCTCACCTGAGAGATACTTGACCTGGGCCATCACATACAGCGGGTCGATCAGAGCTGGTGCTGCCTTGACTACAGGATTCAGGATCGCAGCAACTTGTTTAAGAAGCGGAGACACAATCTGGCCTGGCGACCGGGGCTGTAGGAACACAGGGGTCTGGCTGCATGGTTTCCACTATGCCAAGAGAGACTCTTGGAGCACTCAGAAAACAGCAAAGGAATTTTACTTTATTCCACACATATTCATCATCCACTCTGTACCATCTCTCGTACATTATGCTAGAACATAAGCTCCAGAGAATGAGGACTTCCTTTTGTTCACTGTTGTGTCCCCACTACCTGCATGGCGTCTGGCACGTGGTACTACATTCAATAAATATTTGTGGAAAGACTCATTATAAGGCACTAGGGGGATATTAAGGCCTGTAAGATACGACCCTTGCCCACGAGGAATCTCAACTGGCTGGGAAAGCAGAACAAGTAAAGACCAATATATTTCTTAGAAGACGTCTGGGAAGAAGGGAGCCCAGGTCTATTTTAGGATAAATGCACGGGCCTGGGCCAGTGCCCTGCTCCTTCACGGCGGGCCCTGAACCAGAAGCATCAGCATCACCTGGGAGATGGAGGGCTCGCACCCCACTTCCCAGAAGCTTGGCGCGCTGCACCTGTGAGTGTGAAGAGCACTGGGCTCCCCAGCCACTCAGAGCAGCCAGGTGTCTGGCAAGGTGAGGTCCTGCCTCTGTCCAGACCTGTCCTCCAGACCCCTCCCCATGAAGAAGTACCTTCCTCTAACCTGCTTGGGGCAGAAGAACAAGTACTCCTTGGCGATGCAGACCAGGAAGAAGGGGTCGAGCCTTTCGAAGTACTCAGGGCCCAGGGGGAGGGCCTGCATGTTGGAGAAGTGCAGCTCAGCTGCCTCCTTCAGCAGCACTGTGGTCTCCTGCTCCCCCTTGTGCTTCCTGGACGCCAGGAGGGCTTGGAGGAAAACCAGCACCTGTGGGAGGCAGGCCCTTTTCTTGCAAGCCATGCCCGCTGGGCAGAGTCCGCAGGCCCGCAGGGCGAGGGAGACGCCTAGGCCGTCTTGGCTGCTCTACTGGAAGCTGGGGTTGGGAGGGCGACACGATCCTGGAGCAACCCAGGCCCCCAGAGAGCTCTGACCTCAGACTTCCCAAGGGACTGCTGCACCTCCTTCAGGAATTCCAGCTGGTGCTCGGCCTCCTCCAGGTGGCCCTCTAAGATCTGGCTCCAGATGATCCCTGGGAAGGGGACAGAAGAAGGATGAGCATCCAGCTCTGAAGCAGAGCCAGCAGTCCAGCAGGCCAAGGGGCAGGGATGAGACAGTGGACGGCAGGGGAACTTCCAACATCTTCATAAAGTTAGAGAGTAATAAATGCTTATGGTAAAGAATTCAAATAGCACAGGGAACTATATTCAATACCTTGTAATGGTTTGTAGTGAAAAAGAATATCAAAAGGCACACACACATATATGTATGTGTATATATGTGTGTGTGTGTGTGTATATATATTATATGAATCACTGTACTGTACACCAGAAATACATTGTAAATTGACTATACTTCAATTGAAAAAAAAAAAGAACTCAAATTACAAGGCAAGAAAAACACCCCAAACTCACACTCTGGCTTTAACCGTGTCTCTCTCTAGAGAACGACTATTAACAGTTTGAAGATATATTCCTTCAAACATCTTTCAAAGCATTTCACGTTATCAGTGTTTACCACATTTTCCCATCCATTCATATAAATCTACCCCATGCTCTTTAATGATTTAATAGTCCACTGTGGATGTAACCCTTTATTTAACTATTGCCTTTTTGAAGGCCTCCTCATTTCATATTTGGTTTGTCTTGCAATGCCATGGTCAGCATTTTTGTATGTTCTGCTTCCTGAAATAGAGTAGGCGGGTCAAAGGGCCCGCGTATCTAAAACGTTGCTACGTGAGGTCAGCTTGCTCTCCAAGGATATTTGAATTAATCTTACTGCCGAGAATTTGAAAGTGTCCTTTCTTTTCCCACAACCTCACAAACATGTTTTACTCTTTACCACTCTAAAAAGTGAGCAGTAACTCATTTTAATTCATTTTACTTTTTATTTATTAGGGAGAATGAGCATCTTTTCATATACTTAACAGCCTTTTCTTTTCTCCTGTGAATTTCCTGTTCACAGCCTTTTTTTTTTAATTCTGTTCTCTTTTTTTCTGTTCTGTTCCTGGCCTTTGGCTGATTTTCTCTGGACTGATTTCTTTCTCTCTTTCTCTATACATATATATACACACATACACACACATGTATTTTCTTTATATATATGTATATTATATAATAAACATTTAATATTTTATATGTAAATATATAAATGTATTCTATATATTTACAAATGTTTATATTCTCTTTATATATAGCTTTTGTTGCAAACACTTTCCATTAGTTTGCCATTTACCTTCTTTTACTTTTTAACTATTTTTACAGTGTATTTTGCCATCCATTGGTTTTACATTTGACATAGTCAGATCAGTAAAATATTTTCCTTTACAGCTTCTGAGTCTGTGGTCAGGCTTAGAATCCCCCAGGGACGCCAAGTCCAATTTCATGTTTATGTTTAAATACCTAATTCATCTGGAACTGATTTTTGAGTACGGTGTGAGAAGGGCATTTACCTTCATGCTTTTCAGAAGGACAGCCAGGTGTCCGACTACGAATTGTTGGAACTCCATTGGTTTGAAATGTCATTTTTATCATAAGACCTGTTTCTGTCCCATTTATCTATTTGTTTATTCCAGCGTTGACCTCAAACTGACTTCACTACTCTTGTGATATGTTTTGCTGTTGGGGAGGACAAATCCCTTCTGCCTCGGCTGTTCTTTTATAAGATACATTCCTTGGCCATGTTGATGGATTTATTCCTGTCTTCCTAATCACTACCTTGGTTTTCGATTGTATCCGTCCCACTATTTGGCTCATCTGTGGAATCTTTTACTTTGTAGTCTCATTTTTAATCTCCAGCCACTCTTTTTTGTGCTCTGTATATTTTCAAGGAAGCGTGTTCCTTCCACACTTACATCACAGCCTCTCGAGCCAGCCAGTGCGGGAGGTTTTTCAGGGGAGGGGGGCCTTTTCTGTATCTGGCCTTAACTTTGCTCCTCAGATGGCCACTGCTTTGCATGTTCCACTTGGCCCCTCTCTCAAACTGCCGGCAGATTTATAAACAGACTAGAGTGATGAGTATCAGCAACCGGGCCAGATTTCCCAAACAATTAAGGTCACTGGTTTCCTCAGCCAGGCCAGATAAGATGGGTGAGCCGCGGATCCCCTCCATGCCTGGGCTGGAGTGTGTGAGGCAGACGTTCTGACCAGTGGACTTCCCTCCTGGCTGGCCAGCTGGGGCTCTCCCTTGAATGAGGAAGTGGCGAAGGTCTCAGCCTGGTGGAGGAGTGTTTCGGGGGATTTTGCCTCTGTGTCTTTTTGTTCTTCAAGTCCCTCATGGCGGTGGAACGTCATCGGGGGCTCTGTTCTGCTGCCTCCTGCCCCATCACCCATAAGAGCCCCCTTGATCCCATCCTCTGACCTCCGATAACCCTCCCATTGTCTCACGAACTGCCCCACATCATGTTCTGCTCCAAGTCTCTGGGGACCCTGAGCTTATGTTTTCCAGTTTTTGTTTTTCCTGGAGCCCTTCGGGGGAAAGCTGATCTACTCATTTCTTTAGCTGACCCAGCTCTGCCCATGCTGGCTTACAAGTTTCTAGCCCTGCTTGGGTTTTCCATGTGTTGGGTGCATTCTGCTTTATCTCTTTAGGAAATGCAAAGTTCTTCAAAGTTTCTGGTCCACTGAAGGTACCTTGTCCTCTTCCTGGGGCTGCAGCGGGGACTCATTAACTTTTTAAAATGTCATCCATCACTTTGGTGGGATTTGGGGAGGGAGGAAAAGGCAATGACTGAGGAGTCAGCCTGACGTTCTGAACCAGGAATCAAGACCAAACACTCTGCTGCGCAGATGGGGAGCCTGGAGCATCGAGGGAAGTCACTTGTCCAAAAAGACCCAACTCCTCAGAGCCAGGTCAAGAAGCTGGCCTGCCTGGAGCACTGATCATAAGGCTACCTCCATGAAAATCAAATACTGCTGGTTCAGGATTTACCAGAGACCACAGATTTGAGGGCTGTGTGTAAAAATGAAAATTGGACTCTGGAAAATTCATTTGACATTTATATAAAGTGAGGGGTGGGTGGGGGAAGCATTGGGACAGACAGGGAAGTAAAACTCTCAAAACTACTCACTCTGGTGGCCTTTCAGCTCAGAGGCCTGCAGAGGGAAACTCTACAGAGGTGAGGCTAGAGGCTTTGGGGAGAGGGTGCCCTGGGAGCAGGACTATCTCCAACATTGGCCTGTGAGGCCTGAGAAGAGGCAGAGCTGACCATGCATGACGGGCAGGCCGTCGGTCTTCTGGGGGCTCACAGTGTGGATACTAGAGGTCTGGTGTAGATCATAATGGCCTTGAGCACTTTCAAGAATTCCTGTGCTTCTTATGTCTTTACTTGTAGATTTGTGGAAAGACACCGCATCATACAATGCGCCCCCAAACTCACACACTCTCATAGGAGAATGCTTTCCAGCCTCTCATCTGGACCCATAGAGGCTACCCTGCTTGGATCCTGTCCCCTACCCTGCCCAGTCTGCACAGACCTGTCAAGGCAGCCACACTGCTCACGTCCAGTTTCATGGCCTCCGAGTACCACAGAGCCGCCTCCCTCACTTGGTCCTGCAGGATGAGGAGATAGCCCAGCTCTGTGGCCACGTGGGCATAGGAGGATGTGGCCATGAAGTTTCGCTCAATGAAGCTACACACTAGCTGCAGAATCGTCTGGTGCCTCCCACACTGCAAAGGACAGACACAGGAATGGGAAACCAGTCAGTCCAGCCTGTCTGAGCAAGGCCACATCACCAATGGGGGGCACTTTGGGAGGCCTGGGGGGGTTTCCCAAGAGGTACCCTAGTTTGGTCAGCTGGGTCCGAGCAGCTGTTTAGCTCCCCAAGATCCCCCACTGGGCACATCTGTGGAAGCTGCCTCCAGCCACGGGGTCCTCCAAGGGGCCCATCCCTTGTCTGGCCATAGTCATTGGTCCCAGTCACCAGGAGGTTCTTCACAAACTGAAGCTGGGTGCGAGAAGCTCTTCATGTCCCACTGGTGGGGAGTGGCCCTGAAGGCTTCAAGCAGCCACATTCCCTGCCATGTGTGGAGAGTGAGGCAGAGAGAATCAGACACAGATGTGGAGGGAGAGGTGATGTCCCAGTGGCTTCGACTCCCAGACCTGCCCTTGTTCTTACGGCAATTCCTTCTAGTAAATCTTGCTCTGGGGCTGAAGGGTCAGATAGAGACAGACGGTTTGGCAGACTGGTCTGTCTGCACTTTGCCTGGTGTTTGAGAGGCCTAGGCAGGCCAGCCTTCCCAGCTCACTTCCACAGAGAGACTATGGGAGTCCGGTGCCCCAGCACCCCTAGGCTGGAGCCGGGCATGGCTTTGCTGGATCACAGCTGTGACACTGCCCTCTTTCCTCAAACATGGCGCCTCCGACTCTGAAGGGGCTTCTAGACCTCATCTCCCGGCTGTTCATAGCATCTCTGAGGGGCATGTGGACACAGGATACAGAGTCCACGTGATACAGTTATTGACCAGGGGCCAGCAGGGGCCCTGGGGTCTGGGCCATCAGCCTCAGAGGCCAAGTTTGAGCTAGAGAGTGGAGGGGCAGGGTCCTCAGGGAGCTTCTGATGAGGGGTGGGAGCCCCCAGGTCTCCCCCAAGGAACTCAACGGGAGGCACTAGTTCAGAAACCAGGAAGGAACCTTCTTACCATTCTGCCCACTACGAGAATTTTTTTAAGATGGAGGCTTGGATTTTGGGGCTCTCTTGTCTCCAGTGCCTTAATCAGATTTCTAACGTGCTCGGCAGCCTGCAGGGACAAAACAGACCATGTCAAAGGCAGTATGTACCATAGAATTGGTTATTAACCCTAGCTTCCCACAAGCACCAGCTGGGAGATTTTAAAAACACCTGGGCCCATATGCCAGCCCCAGAAATACAGATTCAACTGGCCTCGGCGGGTGGGGTGGGGGTGGAGCCTGGCTTCAGGATGACGTTGGAGCCCCATAGGTGGAGCTTTCAGGAACGTTATTCACCCAAGAGCTGGCACTGCCCCTCTGTTCATGAATGCGTGAAGAGCAGTTGCCCTTTTGGACACACCAAGCTGGGACAGGAGCCAACTGTCACTGTGCCCACAGCACAGCCTACCAAGCTGGCCGCAAAACACCTGGGCTGGCCCCCAGAGCCAATGGTCAGGGCAGGTCCCTGGCCCCAAACCTCTGCTCCATTTTGACGTGAGTCACCACATCGGTGCCTCTCTGTCATTCTGGCGAATCCTCCCAAGGACCCTGTAAGTCAGTGTAACAACCCGCATTTTCCAGTCCGGCAGATGAAGGGTCAGAAAGGTTAGGTAAATCGCCTGAGGTTACCCAGCCAACTAGGTGGCTGACTTGAGTCCAAAGCCTGTGTTCTTTCCAGTGGACTCACCTGCCTGCTCTCTCTGCTGGGGTAGGGAGCTCTTAGTTCCCAGATGCAAAGAAGTGTCACAGGAAAGACCTGGATCGGGTGGAGCCTCTCCGCTCAGCAAGCTGAGTACTGAGCAGCAAGGCCGGGCAAGGGGAGCAGAGCCCAGGGATTGAGGTCAGGGGACGAAGGAGGGGCATTAACTACTAACTCTGCCCTTGGGACTAACCCCTGGGCCAAGCCTTAGGAAGGCCTGCCCAGGGCTCTGGGATCTCAGGGAGCTGGGGACAGGCCTGTTCTCTTATTCCTCCCCAGAGACAGTGTCAGGGCTTTTTGAGGGTTCCTCCCAAAGACAGACAGTGCCCTGCACCTCACCCCACCCTGCAAAATCCACAATCTCAGAGCTGGGCAGAAGGAACCAGAAACTTCCTCTTCCCACCATGACCCCCGAAGAGCCTCTTGATTTTTCACACTTTCCACAGAGGTGGTGTATTTATTCAGAAGGCAATGCTTTGGCTGAAAACACAAACTCTTTTTGCAAATCAGAACCTGTCTGGGCATTGAGGTTTTCACTAAGAATTCTAGGTGTTGCTGACTGCATCTGAGGGCTGTTAGGGGTTTCTTTGGAAAACGACAAGGCTTAGGAGTAAGTTTGGGGCCAGGTACTGCCTGGTCAATAACTGAGCAACTCCAATCATTCCCTTAAAAAAAAAGGTCATTTCCAGAAATCTGAAGCAGAACTGTGACGTCTATCAGTTAACATGGAGCCAATTATTTTAGTGTAGCGGGCACTGTTCCAAGTTGTCCCACCTGTCATCTCATTCAGTCCTTATAACAACCTCACAGAGTGGGTGGAATGATCTGCATTTTACAAATGCAGATCTGGGCTCATCCAGGTGAAGATACCTGCCCAACCGGGGTCACACAGCCTCACTACCTGCCTTTGGAACTGTGTGGCTCAAAGGCCAAACAGAGGAGACCTCCTTGGCTGGCAGTGTTGGGGAGTGAGAGGGAGCTGAGACCCAGGGAGAGCCCTCCAAGGCCAAGGGGATGGAGGTGCTATGAGGGGTTCCTCCTTGGCTGTGTTTGTTCCCAGGCTCAACTTCTGAGTCTCGAAAGCACTTACCGTGGTGATGTTTCCTTCTCTTGCAAGCTCATGCAGAGCTAGAATTTGGCAGGCATCAATATTGCTTTCATCCTTTTCTAGGATTCTGAAACAGGGAGAGGAGCCACATGAATTGAAGGTTTTCCTAGGCAAGGCTAGGATGGTGTGGTGGCAACTTCTAATTGTCTTCTTTTTGTTTTAACTGGATGAAAGATTTGTTAAATTCTGTAGTGCTTTACAGTTTTCAAGTTTCACACACATGATTTCATATAATCCCATAATACCTCCTTTTTCTCCTCCCACACCTGTATTGCCCCTCCCCCTCTAACTATCTTCTAATATCTGCTCTCCCCTTCTCCTTTTAATAGAACCCCCAAACTGGTGGGACACATGGCTACCAGAATAAAGACTCCATTGCCCAGCTTCCCTTTGTAGGTGTGATCATGTGATTAAGTTCTGGCCAATAGGATATAAGTGAAAGTGCCCAGTGTGTGTCCAGTGGTGCCCCCTTTATTCTCTTTTATGCTTCCATTTATTCTCTTCTCTCCTTCCTGCAGGCTGGCATGCAATATCCTAGGAACAAGAGAGTGTGAGACAGAAGGGGTCTGGGACCCTCCAGAGGTCAGCTGTTGTCCCAGCCCTGGCCCAGCACCCAAACTTTTCCCTGAGACAGGGATAACCTCTTGCCATTTAAGTCATGTATTTTGGGGTGTCTTTGAGACAGTAGCCCATTTATAACCCAATGAACACAGGCATGACCATGACACCATGGTCTGGGGGGTGGCCAGAGCACTGCTTAGGGGAGGAGTGTGGGCAGTCTGAAGCTGTAAGATGGAAAAGGAACCTTAGTTTCCATCATGTGTCATTGTGAATCTGCAGCTTCTGATCATACAATGGAGTTTTCAATATTCTGTATCTTTGTAGGAAATCTCATACTTTTCAGCCTGGTCAGGGAAAAGCCCTTCTTCTTAACAGAGGGTTACTCTAATTGACGTGTAAAATTCCAACATGACTAGACACAGTCAACATTCAGAGAGTTCTAAGCATTTATGATAATTTTGAAGGCACTGTGAATCTCATACTTTGGAAATTAAAAAAAAACACTTTAAAATGACATATAGAGCAAAACAGAATCAGAATGGATATTAGAAAATTCTTAGAGCCAAATGATACTGAAGACACTACACATCCAAATGTGTAGGTACCATTAGATGGGACCTCGAGGGACATCCACAGACTTCAATGCTTATCTCCTAAAGAAGACTGAGAATGGATGGGTGGGCATCCAGCTCGAGAGTCAGAAAATAACAGCAGAGTCACTCCACAGGAAGTAGTCGGCAGAAAATAATAAAGAACAGAAACAAACAAATGAGAAAACAAAGATATAACAGCGTCAACAAAACTGAAAGCTGGTTCTTTAACAAGACTAACAAAAGAGACGAATGATTTCCGTACCGGTGAAGAAAAACAAGGGAGAAGGGAAAAATAAGCAGTATTAAGGATGAAAAGAGAAAGACACATAGAGAGCAGAGATTTAAAGGACGTTCAATTTTAAGTTAAAGGGGGAACTCTGAGCTGTGAAAGCCTCCGTTGGGCCTTGAACTCAACTCGCTGGCACAACATCGTCTCCCTGCAGGTTGGGGCGGCAAGGCCTGGGAGAGGGAGGCCAAGCACACCCACCGATGGGCATGGCCTTCAGCCAGGTGCCTCCAGGTACCCTGTGGGCCCCAGGCGGGGCCTCCAAGGCAAGCTCTTGACCCAACTCCTGCCAAGGTGTAAACTGTGAGGGAGGGAGTCTGACGGCCCAGGGCTGACACAGGCTGGAATCGTTTCCAGTCTCCTACAGCACCCCTCAGATTCCAGGTCTCGTCAGAGGAGTTATCACCCCTCCGCACCGAAGGAAGACGTTTGTTTGTGTTTCGGTATTTTCCCACACCATTTAGTAACAATTTGTAGTGGCGACTTGTCGTCACTCAGAAGAAGAAACATAGTCCATTGACTCTTTTTAAGAAGAAAATCAGTAGTATACATTTGAGGGTTACTGGGATAAAAAATAGTTAAAGCTTTAAAGAGATAAGCTTTAGTTATCCAGAAAATTCCATTTTCAAAAAACCCTCCATCACACATCCCTCCTCCAAAGCCATCTTCATCTCTATTCACAACCAAAATGCTTCAAGATCACCCTCTACTTGGTGTCTGGCTTCCAAAAGCCCCAGTTCTCCTGAACCCTCTGCTGTCTTCCTGACGCACCCAGCCTGCTACTAAAGTCTTCTCTCGGCCAGTGATGACTTTTGTCCCCTGAAGTTTGTAGTCCATCACACCCATAGTTTTTTTAACTGTGTTTTATTTATATATTTATGTGTGTATATATTTATTTCTTAAATTGAAGTATAGTTGATTTACAATGTTGTGTTAGATTCAGGTGTACAGCAAAGTGATTCAGTTATACCTATATATTTCAGAATCTTTTCCATTATAGTTTACTACGAGATACTGAATATAGTTCCCTGTGCTACATACAGTAGGACCCTGTTGTTTATCTGTTTTATATGTAGTAGTTTGTATCTGTTAATCCCAAACTCCTAATTTATCCCCAACCCCATTTTCCCTTTGGTAACTATAAATTTGTTTTCTGTGAATTTATTTCTGTTTTATAAATAAGTTCATTTGCATCATTTTTTAGATTCCACATATAAGTGATATCATACAATATTTTTCTTTCTCTGTCTTAGTTCACTTAGTATGGTAATCTCTAGGTCCTTCCATGTTGCTGCCCATGGCAGTATTTCATTCTTTTTTTTTTTAATGGAGGTACTGGTGCTTTTTTAGCAGCACCTTGTGCATGCTAAACATGCACTCTATCACTGAGTTATAACTGCCCCCTGTCCATTTCATTCTTCTTTGTGGCTGAGTAATATTCCATTGTGTATATATACATCACATCTTCATCCAGTCATCTGTTGATGGACATTTAGGTTGCTTTCATATCTTAGCTATTGTAAATAGTGTTGCTATGAACACTGGGGTGCATGTATCTTTTCAAATTAGGGTTTTCTCTGGATATATGCCCAGGAGTGGGATTGCTAGGCCATATGGTAACTCTATTTTTAGTTTTTTAAGGAACTTCCATACTGTTTTGCATAGTAGCTGCACCAATTTACATTCCTACCAACAGTGTGGGAGGGTTCCCTTTTCTCCACAGCCTCTCCAGCATTTATCATTTGTGGACTTTGGAATGATGGCCATTCTGACTGGTGTGAGATGATACATCATTGTAATTTTGATTTGCATTTCTGTAGTAATTAGTGATGCTGAACATCTTTTCACGTGTCTGTTGGCCATCTGTATGTCTTCAGAGGAATGTTTATTCAGGTCTTCTGCCCATTTTTTGATTGACACCCATACGTTTAAAAATTAAATAATACAATAATCCTTTTCTCCCTTTACTCTCCCTTCCCCAGTACTCCTCAAAGACAACTGCTTTCCAGCCTGTAACTGTTGTTGCTTTGCATTCCTTTGGTAGTTCCCTCCATCTCTCTCTTAAACACTATGCTTATATCTCTCAATATGCCTATTTCTTTTTTTTCATATTTATTGATCCTGATTTTATTTTATGCTAAATATTTATTTGTTTATTTGATACCCCTATTTCTTGACTCTGCCATCGCAGGCCTCTGCTGCTGGCTTCCTGCTACAACGAGTTCTCGTTCACATCCATCCTTCCTCTCCTGTCCCTCCCAGTATGATCATATCACTATTCCTAACTCCTCTGGTGACAACACTGACTTTTATGTCTCGTTCCATCAATTGCACAGTATCTCCCATCCCTCACCTGGTAAGATGGGAACCTATTAGCCCTCTAGGCTGGCAAAGGAAGGAAGCAGCAGGTGGGCCCCGTCCCTCACCTGTGTCCCATTTCTACCGTCTGGTCCCAGTCCTGCCGAGCCAAGAACAGCCGCATCTTTAGGACCAAGGCGGGCAGGAAGCTCCCCGAGATGACAGTGATCTGGTTCACCACCTCCAGGGCCCCTGAGTAATTCTGCAGCATCATGAAGTAAGTTGCCTGTCAAAAGCCAACAAGAAGAGCCCTGTCAGTGCCCACGAAGGATTGGGGGTTGGGTGGGCGGTGTCAGTGTTCCCACCAGGACAGGAGCAGGGCCTGACACACGGGCAGGAAGTCGTCACTCAGGGTGACAAACCAGGGTCCACGGAGGTCTTGGGTTCCTGGACAGGCAAGGCAGGGGCTCCAGCAGACAGCTGAGCCCCAAGCCCACCTAGGATAGAGCAAGGCTATCAGGGGGGATGGGGAGCAGGGAGAGCCACCTCTGGCGGGGAAGCTGGGGTTGCTGGGAAATTTCCAAGTCCACAACGAGACCCTCATCCCATTTGCCTTCCTGAAGTTCACTGAACACTGCTCATTGAGGCCAGCGCAGCAACCCAGTCAGTTAGGGTTTGCAGGTAACCCCCTCCCCGCCATAGCAAAGCTGCAGTGCTTCCCCCCAACCCCGTCAAGGCCCACCCGGCTGCGGTCATGGCCCTTGCAGGCAGCCAGCCAGCAGGCTCTCCTGGGTGAGTCATGACACAGATGCCTGAGGGGCAGAGGACAGTGTTCCCAAAAGGCTTGAAACTGGACTCCGAAAGGATGGTTTAAGCCTTACAGTCAACTTCCATTAAGAGACATTAAAAACCAGAGTAAGATTCTTCTCAATAAAGATTTATGCACAGAGGTGTTTACTGTAGCACTTTCTACGTGTGGGACTGAAAACAATTTCAATATCTAAAGGGCAGGCGGTTAGGCTGGCAAGTGACATGAGGCCCTCACAGCAGGAGACTGGCTTCATATAGAAAGTTCAGAATGGCATGTGCTTATGACAGCACCTGACACGAAGAGAAAGAACTAAACTGTAGGACACCCCCGTGATTACAACTAGATAAAATAACCACACTATCTCCCATTCACAGTGGGGCTGTGTGTGAGCTCTTTCTGGCCAGGGGAGTTGGCAGTTTCTGGGATCACGCGTGGCTAAAGGGAGCTGCCTGGTACCAAGTCACACCCCTCCCCCAGGGCACCCACAGCCAGCATCTTGCCTGTGAGGGCGTCAGTGAAGGGCCATCCCAGCACCACAATTCCAAGCAGAGCTGGCTGCAGCCTCTGCTGGGACTGCTTCACTGCCCAGACTCTCCCTCCACCCAGTCCTACTCCTTTCCCTTTCCCCACAGGTGTTGGTCCCAAGAGCACAACCTGCTAAGCCTCCTGCAAGATAACCTCACAGCCTCTGCTTCCCAGAAAACCACCTAAGCACACCCTGAACCAATGCGGAGAAGAAAGACTCCGAGACAGTGCCCTCCAATATTAACATGGGTTATTAGGGTATATATTATTAAGGTATATACAAACAGAAGTGAATTAGTGGATGGTTTTTCTCTCTAGATTGATTCAGTGAGGGTCATATCAGAAAAAAGGAACTAATTTTAAATTAAGATCAGAAAATACAAGACCTCCCTTCTCTTACGGCCAAGTATGTGGATTTAACAAGTGAGATGAGAGAGCATGAAAGAAGGATGCAGGGAAAAGGGGCAGTGGGTGAAACCAACAGGCAAAGAGGGAAAGCCCCCAAAAGCCCAGGAAGCCCAGCCCCCGAGAAGACCCCACACAGAAGAGGATGGAAACCCAGCCAGGGCAGGATGCAGGGAGGACTGGAGTGGGCCCGGGGCTGCTCTGTCACCCTGACTGTCTCGGGATCCACCAGGTGGGAGGCGTGGAGACTGAAGTCCCAGGGTGGGGACACTTCCACTCCATCCCCTGCCCCAATGCCCACCTTTCCCATCAGCCCCAGCACGTCGTTGGTGTCCTGAATTCCTTGCTCCAGGTACTTGATAGACTTCTTCACTGTGTGAGGCTTGTCTGAACTGAGGTCCACCCAGCCTCTGAGCACACAGCCCTGGCATAAGAACAAGAGGAAATATGAAGTCCTCCTCACGCCTGCCTCTCCTGCCTCCTGTCCTGCCCTTTGTCACTCCACTCCCCGAGGCCCTGCCAGGCACCAAGGCTCCCAGACCCCAGGGCAGCCCTGCTCTCTCACTGCCAGGCATTTGTACCTCATGTTCCTTCACCTGGGATGCCCCGCCCAGCACATGCCACCGCAGACCAAATCCTGTCATTTGATTAACTACCACAGTCTTTCAAACTCAGCCTAGGGCCCCTCCTATAGGAGGCCGTCTTTGACCTTCCTTGACCTTCCAGGCTGGGGCTGGGCCCTCCCCGTGACCCGCCATAGTTCTCTGGACCCTTACAGAGATGGTACCACCTGTCTTGTCATTGCCAGTTTACTTTACATTGGGGTCAAGAGGTCAACACAGGGCACCAGGGCAGGGCTGCTCCGGCTCTCTCCACAGTTTAGACCAGTGCAAGTCCTGGCCTGTCCGGGAAGCCGGGAGCGCCCTGTGGGCGGGCAAATGGCCTACCAGACTCCTCTGTCTTCATCCTTCACTGCCTCTCCCGGCAGAGGCAGGTGCAGGCGCAACAGGTGCGGCAGGCCAGGCCTGGGAGGTAGGATCAGAGGGGCCTCGGAAGACCCTGCCCTCAACCATCCCTCATGGCCTGGAGCATGTTTCTCAACTCTTTTCCATTACTGCCCTCCTAAGGAGCCTTTTTAGACATTTCTCCCCGAATCGTCCCCCCCTTCTCCTAGAAATGTTAATAACACAGATACATGCTTTCTGTGCTGTATGTATATCTGTGTTTTACATATAAGATTTTTTCACCCCCTCCTCCAAGAACCAATTTTCACCCCCTTGGCAGGGGTGTGGGGATGGGATGTGATATGTCTTCTGCTCAGATGTATGCCCTAGACAGGCTTCAAATTCTACCATTAGTACAATTCTACCACATAAGAGGTCTACTGTATATGACTCCACCACATATGAGATCTACTGCAGTGCACTCCACTGGTACCGAGAACATCACTGCATGGAGGGAATGCAGGCCCAGTGGAGCCAGTTCATCTAGTTTTCAAAAAGAACCAGGACATCTGGAATTTTAGGCAAAAATCTGATTTCTAAAGGTCAGCAACTAATTCAAGATTTTAAAAATATATAGTGCAGATTTTATTTTCTTAGTGTGGGAATTTATTTTTGCAAACACTGATGAATATGGCTAATTTTTCACTGTTTCTCTAACTTAAAATATCTTTACTCCAGTTTGAGATCGAATAAAACTGCTTTGAGCATCTCTGTAAAACAGACACACACACGTATATATATAGAGTGCAGGCCATAAAACACCTATCCACAGATCATACTGTATGGAAAAAGGCCAGTGTGTACTTGGCCAAACCCAGCCATCGTGGGTCTTGTCGGTGCCTAGGTGTGGCCCTCCCCCAGCCCCAGGGCCCTCCGTGGGGGTAAGGGCCACCCTTTATGATGCGTGTGGAGGCTGCTTTCTTCGGCTGTTACCCCCACAATGCCTGTGGCAGGTACCTCTCTGGAGCTGCTGGAGATCTTCAGCATGCGGTCAGTGTACTCCTTGGCCTTGTCATGGTAGCCTATGAGCCACAGGAAGAGGCCGGCATAGTACAGGGCAGTCCTGCTGGCTGTCTTGCGGGTTTCCTTCAGGCTGCTCTCCAGCTCCTGAATCTCTTTTTGGTCTGGGAATCCCAGAGAGGAGGAAGTAGGCAAGTTAGGGTGAGGAAGTCTGTCTGGTCTTGCAGGGGACACTGAGGGCCCAGGGAACTGCCCCTGGACAGTCTGGGCCTCCCTGTACACATGTAGCCAACTACCCCACAGCCCAGGGCCTGGGAACCAGCAACACCAGCTCCTGCAACGCCAGGGGCTGCCCATGCCTGGACTTGGGTTTGCTGGCTGGGATTTACCTTTTCTCCTCTCGGCTCAGCAGTTTGCTAAGCAGACAGATCAAACCTGAATCCCCACCTCAGGCCCAGAGTCTATTTTGGGTAGTGAAACAGTCTGTCCATAGTCTCTTGGAATCTCTCCCTGACTCCAGAAGGGTGGAGATTAGGGGTAGAATTATTTCTATCAGCTTAATTTTTCTTGACAATATCCTGGCAAAGGAAAGCAGGGTGTCTCCCCAGTCTTTGGGATCTGGAAGGAGGCCCCCCGCTCTCTGTTATGCTCTCTGCCTGTGGCTCCCATTCAATTGGGCCCAGGTATGGGGTCTTTTCTGAGGTCTCTGGGGTGGGGAGGGGAGTGCAGCCACTCCTCACTACTGGCCAACAGCATCTGCAGTCATAACTGCACACACATCCTGAAGTAGCCCTCAGCGGGGCTATGTCTCTGGGGTGGGGTGGGCTCTCTTTTCTCTGCTAAGCCAGGCCCAGCGGAGCATGGCTGCACTCACCGATGGTTTTGCAGCACTTGTGAGCATAAATAAGGGCCATGATGGAGCACAGGGACACGTCTGGGTGATTCCGGATGCTCTCCAGGCTGCTGATGGCATCCTGGATGCGCTCTGTGGAGAGAGCCCACATGGTTATGCTCTTGGTCTCCATGCTCAGAGGGCAGGAGGCTCCATGGCAGACACAGGCTGACCCAAGACTTGGACTAATGGGTCCAAAAGGTCCCAAATGGCTCAAATTCCCTGAAGACTGAAGCTTCCTGAAAGGGCTGCTAGCACCATGGTCCGGGCTGCCAGGGGACGGAGGGCTTGGAGCTGAGAGATGTACCTGTGAGTACTTGCAGGGATACCTGTGGGTCGGTTCTGAAGAACGACCTCTGGGCATTCCCAGCCAGCTGCTCAGAGCCACCATTTACCTTTCTCCTTCCATCTACACTAACACTGGCCATGGACAGCTCAGCTGCCCACCCCCCCAGGACTACCTTCTGAACGCCAGGAGTCAGCACCTGCATGGGCCCCACTCCTCTCTCTGCTCCTGTCCCATACCTGCCTGGACTCACACCCATCTCTTCCCCTTTTTCTGTACTACTGGCTCTCTGTTTCCAAGCCTGGGATTGATTCAGTAACTGCAGTCATCTCTCCACCAACTCATTTTACACACAGGGAAACTCAGGGGCAGAGCAGGGGTAGTGAGCTCTCTAAGGTCTCAAAAGTCAACTAGATATGGATCACACAGCCTTCTGTGGATTAACCTGGGAATCTAGCCACTGAGTGTAAGACTGTTTCCATGGGAACACAGCTAGGGTAGAAAGAGACATCCAGGTGGAGTCAGCAAGTCAGTGCTGGGCTAGTGCCTTGGGTTAGGAGGCCAACACTGATAAGCCCTTACCTTCCCCGAGGACTCCATAGGCTTTAAAGAACTGCAGCACGGGGTCATTGCTGAATTTTTCCAGGCCCATGGCTGCGACTTGCTGCACATGGCGAAAGTACTTTTCTCGGCTGTAGTAAATGATCCCAGCCTGCGAGGAGAAAGACATAGTTGCAATAGCCCCAGTTCCTTCTCTGTCTCTGTTCTGACCTGCCCTCTCCCCTATTCTCTGATCCTCCTCAGCTCTGTAAAGAGAAGAGAAAGACTATTCAGGCCTCATCCTGCTTCTCCTCAGCCCCAGGAACAACTCGAGAAGTTTCCCTGGGAAGGAGTCTGGAGATGTTTGTTTTGGAATTATCCAGATTCTGGTTCAAAGGTGATGGAGAATTCAACACAGGTTTTGCCTTAGGAAGGAAATAAGGGGAAAGAGAGAGGACCAATAATGAGAATCATTGCACCAATAGTTTAAGAGTTACAAGTTATTGTGGGCTAATCACCCATTGGAAACTGTATCAAGGGCTTTACACACATTATCTTATGCATTATCCTCTCCATATCCTTCAGAGTTAAGGACGCCAAAGCCCATGGAGACAGTGGCTTGCCAAAGGTCATGCAACAATAGGGGCTGAGATTTCCAAGCGAAGTCTCACTTCCCCTAAGGTTTGTGGGTGCTGGGGTTGGGGATAGATGTGGTTGGACTGTGAACAGCCTTGTGGGCCACATGAAAGGGCCCAGACATCATCCTGAGGCTAAAAGGAAGCAGTTGGAATGGTTTTGAGTGTGGAGGCAGTAGGGGTGTGGGTGTGTTCAGAGGGGTGTTCTTGCAAAAAACCACTCTGGCTGCTGTGTGTGTGTTGGGGTGGTTGGTAGTGGCGGGGCGGGGGCTGCAGGTGAAGACAACTGAAGCAGAGAAACCAGTTAGGAGAGGAACTGTCGCAGGTCCCCAGGGAGGATATGGTGGTGATCCTGGGCTATGAGATAAAGTGGGTGATCTCAGGAGGACATTTAGAAGCTGACATTTCCTGCCGATAGATAGCATCTGGAGATGGGTATGGGGAAGAGTAATGGCTGGGGATCAAACGGTGATGCCATCCACTGGGGTGAAGGATACGAAAGAGGCACAGGCAGAGAAGGGAGATAATGGCAAGATGGTGGAGGTGGGTTTTGGATGCTTTGGTCTGGGGAAGCTTGGAACGGACTGGGTGGGGATGACGACGAGGGGCTCAGGGTGCACACAGAACACTAGAGAGGATGCAACTGCCAGGGAGAGTGAGGCGAGAAGGGACCAAGACCGCTTGCAGCGGCCAGGGACAGCAAAAGGCGGGCAGAGGGGACAGCAGGAGCGGTCAGAGAGGTGGCAGGAGAGCTGCAGGGCGCGGGGGTCACCAGACAGGGTCGAAGAGTCCCGGGGGGAGCGGCTGGGCAGTGCCTGGGCCACGCACCATAAGGGAGGAGTCATTGCTGCCCATCTCCGGGCGTCCCGGCTCGTCCGAGTCTAGGTCTGGTGGTGCCGCGCAGAGCGGGATTCCCTAGTCAGGGTCCTGGGCGCGCCTCTCGCGGCCGGAAGTTGGAGGCGCGCGCGTCCTTGGAAACGGAGCTGCCACCAGTTGTCCAGAGCGTCACTGTAAAAGGTGGGCGTGGCCATGCGCTCACGTGACAAGGCGAGGGTAATCGAGCGCCGAGAGGGCGAGTCCGCGCTGGTGGCGCTGGGTCGGCCTCCCCGCTAGGCGCCGCGGTCCCGGGCACAGGTGCCGGAGCCGGCGGTGACCCATGGGCCTGGGCGCCATCTGAGACTGCCAAGGCACGACACGGGGGATAAGGGTGTGCGCGC